ATGTTCGCCGGTTCCTGCCTCCTTCTTCCCGAACTACGAACTGTTACATTTATATATTACTGCTAATAGTATTTATTTGTGTTTTGAATTATTTTTATATTTTCAGTTTTAATTTTGGTAATTTTCTGTGCTTTTGTTATTTATTTAGTTTTTATGTTTCTAGTTATACATTATTCAGTTAGTTGCCAAAGCAACATTTCCATATTTTTTTTTAATAATAATTTTAGTTAACAATAACAACACTGGTGTGTATGAAAATATGCCACATGAGTATATAAGAAGATACCTTGTTTATAAAGGTTGGGTATAGCAGATTTGATCCACATAAGTGTTGGGGTCGGGTGTCCTGTAGCTTCACAGCGAAGTAGGACATTGCTACCTAGTAGAGCTGTGATCTTGGTGGCAGAGGTCACCACATAGGGCCTGCGGCAGCGAGTGAGCTCCACGCTCTGAAAGGGAACTCCAGCAAGATCCGGCGGTTCACTACGGGTCAGGAATCGATCCAACAGGACCAGAGAAGTTTCTGGGGCTTTACTAATGTCAAGCAAAGTGGAAAGCCTACAGTCACACACCCAGGGGTTGTCCTGAAGACCTGCGGAAGGGATGAAATGGGTGAGAAAGGGTGATGACACACTGGGTCTAAAGAGGTGTGGACTGATTACATAACCTGTTCTCTCCAGCATGACTGGACTAATCAGAGTACAGGGCTTTGGTTTCTACTGGAGGAACGCAGTGAGTCATCAAAAAGGCTGAAGACTCAGATCGCACTTAGATATCACGTATGTGTCTGTGTGAACCAGTCAGGTTGGGTCAATATTTAATTGCCATGAGACATTAATGACTTAATTTGGTTTCACTGACTTTGGCAGTGTGTGTGTGCATGTGTGTGAACAATTTGTCTAGTAGTTTTGTGAGAGCCAGTCAGGGTGTGTTTACTGGGTTGTTATATGTTAAAAATTTAAAATTGTTATATTGGCTCACTAAAAACAGCAGGATCCACATGTCAGAAACCACAGAAAATCTGGGATTCAAAATTTAGTTAAAAGGGATCATTTTTACCCCAAAACTGTATGACTTTCTTTCTTTTGTGGAACATAAAAGAAGATATTTTTTGAGAAGTCGGTGGTCAACGAAAATGTTCAGTTATCAACATTTTTTTTTAAATATCTTCCTATTCTTCAGAAGAAAGTAAGTAAGGCAAGGTTGGAATAACATGAGAATGAGTAAATGATGACAAAACTTCATTTTGGGTGAACTATTCCTTTAAAATTAAGATTTTAGGACATTGGAAACGTTAAAAACAAAGAAACATTATGATGTAAAATAAATGAGAAATAGTTCAAATCTGTTTAAATTAAATATTGAAGAATAAGATACAACACCTAAATTTGAAAGATTTTTAAATTTTAATTTTTGTAATTATTAATTGATTTTAAGTATTATACTAATAATGTTTTACTGTAAAAAAAAAACGTTTAAATTAAACTGCAAAATACGAGTCTTAGTTGATACACCTTTGAACCCCACTGTATATTTAAAGGGGTCATATGATGCGATTTCAAGTTTTCCTTTCTCTTTGGAGTGTTACAAGCTGTTCGTGAATAGGTGAGATCCCTAAAGTTGCAAAGACTAAAGTCTCAAACCCAAAGAGATATTCTTTATAAAAGTTAAGACTGGTCCACGCCCTCCTAAAACGCCTCGTTTAAACACGCCCCCACATGTCTACATCACTATGTGGGAAGATTTGCATAACACCTCCCAAATGTTCACGCAAAGAAAGAAGGCGTAACTTTATTGTTGCTGCCACCGCCGCCATGTTGTGAAGACGCTGTGTGTTTCGTTGTGAAAGCGAAAATACTTTGTTTGGCCTTCCAAAAGAGGACACGACTAGAAATCAGTGGTTAAGTTACAACACTGTTCCAGAACAGTTCAACCCAAATATTCAGATTTTTTGGAGGACCTGATCCTGGTACAATGTTCTGACTCACAGTCTGCAAGTATGTTTTCATATTTAAATAATTTGCCACTGATGATTCAAACGCGAGTTTTGAGCAAAACACACAAAATAATGTTATTTTTAGCAACATCATACGACCCCTTTAAAGTACCTCATATTGTCGCCAGTAGCATATGCTATATGTAGATCACTGACAAGCAGTAGGTTACCTAGTTATCAGTGACTTACATTTGCTTTCTTCATTTTAGTTATCATCCTAACAAATGATCTACAGTGTGGTGTTTCACCTAAAACCACTGAGCGCTGGGTCTGAGTGCTGTCACTGAACGGCCAGAGAGCAGTCAGATCGTTGGGCAGGGTGCTCAGCCTGTTGCTCGAGAGGTCCAGGTAAGTCACATTGGCAAGGTAACGCGCAGCCAGGGGAGGGATTCGTGCCAGGCGGTTATTGTGCAGTCCAAGTGTTCGGAGGCGGGGCACATCCCTGAGTGCCTCCCAGGGGAAGGAGGACAGGAGGTTCCCATCCAATCGTAACTCATGAAGCAAAGACAGGTTTGTGAAACTCCTTGGATGAAGAACAGTGATGGAGTTATATGTAAGCCACAAATAAAGCAGTTCTGGCATGACAGAGAAAGCACCTCTGAAGATACTGGAAACAGAGGTGCGCTCTAGACGAAACTTGACTGCATCACTTGGCAGATCTACTGGAATGGCAGTCAAGGCTGGGTTTTTACAGAGCACAGTTCTAAAGAAAACACAGATTTAATGTTTAATGCCCATCACATTGTTATATACAAATAGAAAAGTCCTTAAAAATAGGGTATCAATACTGTATTGATGTTTCACATTTTCAATAGTGTCAGTGCAGTTAAAACTCTACAGCTTACAAATACACCTGACCTGACTAAAGGCACACTGCGAAAAATAGTAACAAAACAACAAGAAAGTGGAGGAGAGAGTGTGTGGATGGAAGAAGCCAGGAGCACAGACTTAACCAGACAAAAAAGATTACAGATAACCCATATGACTGTACCTGAGTCCCTTGGCATTGCTGCGACCATGGAGCACACAGGTGCACAGAGATGGACATGATGGACTCTGTGCACAGACCACCAAAGCCAAGCACCAAGTAAGGTCTGCATGCAGAAATGTATGCATCGCTTTAGAGACACATAAAGCATCTCACACACTACTGTTCCAGGAAAGAAGTACCACTCTCTGTCTGAGCAGGACTGTGACATTCCCAAATACTGCCGTAGATTAAGACAAACACTAAAAGGATTAGTTCAGATTACTGTGGTGAGGAGCAGATCAACACCTATAGTCAGTGTAGTAAAGAGAAACATGCCCTGGTACTGATGCTATACAATAATAATAGAAGTACAGTGGAAGATTAATTCAATTAAATTTAAAGAATATATGTATCTATAGTGCTGGGTGGCTGATAATGCTTAGCTTATATAATTCACTGATACAGTAGCAAATTGGATATAGCTACACAAAAATTTCAATAGAATTGCAAGGCAATGCAAACTTCACAATGCAAGTTTGCACATCTATCACTTTGATTGCAATTGTATACATTTTTCAATCTTTAATTATAAATATATCGTTTTCTCTCACAAATGGAAGTGGAAGCAGAGTAATTTGTATAATTTGGCCTGTAGCTGGGCCCTTTTGAAAGTCTGCTTTATGAAGCTTCAAAACATGATTCTTTTGTTTTTAATCAATGGTTTGGAGCTTGTTTCAAACCTGTGTGTCAAATCACATGATTCTTGAAAACTGGTCTTTGTTACATCATAATGTTCAGAATGTTGGTTTCAAAACATTTCAAAATTCTGTTTTGGATTGACTTTTCTAATTTTATTTAAAAAAGATCCCCAAACTTTTGTATCAGTCGAAACTTGTGCTTTCTGTTGACTCTTTTGAAAGCAGACCCTTTCATTTAAAATTTTTAATTAATTTATTACTGTTTCTTGCAAAATTCTAGATTCATAAATGTCAATTTCAAAGAAAATGCATTTTTATTTTCCAGAAAGATACGATGCATATTGAATTCTTTAAGGAACTCTGACAACTTAAATGCCTCTAAAACCAATCTATGGTGTAATAAAATATAATAGAATTTGTCACTAGATTGCATTGATCAGCTGAACCTCTAAATGAGTGTCTAATGATTTAACTGATCTCAGGTCAGTTTTATAATGCAAGTTATATATTTTTTAAATAATTTATATAATTAATTATACTACTGATGTCTGTATAATACAGTTTGTGTATTATATACATACATAATTCAAGAAGGGGAATGCTATTATGTAAATATAATTGTAAATGCTTCCAATTAAACTGCGAAGCCCTGACTAATAACATAATACAATTACTATAGGCTACACGTTAATAAAACAAAACAAATTATACAGAACCTTGATATTTAATGATATTTAATTATTTGTGGTCTAAATTACATTTAATAGATTATGCTTTCATGAAAACATTTGTGATTGGTTTGTGAAAGCTGTCATGTTTACGTTTTCGTTGCATGCACACCATTTTGGCCAGGGGTGTATTCCAGAAAGCAGGGTTAACTTACCGTCAGCTAAACCCTGAACTTTTGGTTGATTAACCCCAAACCTTGTTTACTCGAGGTATGTGGTTCCAAAAACGCAACCGGGAGTAAGTTCATTCAACTCCGAGTATGTTCCTGGTTAAGACTGAATGAGGTGACAGGGTAGCCTATCATGATGTAGGCTACCAAGTGCTAAATGTTACCATATTCATATTACATGGTACTAATTATATATTAAATCATATCAGATATGTATTTTGATTTAGGATTTAGACATTATAGAAAATGCCAATCCATGTGCGAGATGATAATATAAAATGTATTAAATAAATATATATATGTGACTAGTGGGGGCAGGGCCGAGAGCCGAGGGAGGGCGGGAGTAGAGCGCAGTCTCGAGGGGCGATGGGGGTATGTGACGAGGGGGGGGCGGGGCCGAGAGCCGTGGAAACGGAGCGAGGCCGGTGCAGTAATTGATAATGAGCGACACCTGCACCACTCAACGGTCTCGAGTCCCACGGAGGAGCTCCGGAAGGATAAAAGGAGGCGTGATGACAGTGAAAGACGAGAGAGGACCAGGCCTGGATTTTATTTTGTGCTTTGTGTGCGGCAGTTGTCCGCGAGGGGCTGCCGCAACATATCATACAAATATATATATATATATATATATATATATATATAATCGGCTATATTACATATTGTAATATTGTATAATGTTGCGCTATCTGTCACGCCCACTAAAGGCTCATCAATAGATCACGCGTGCGCTGAAGTGAACTAACCCTGGAACATAACCTGCTCCGGAGCAGGTTATCTTCGGAGAGCAAGTTACTATGGTTACTTACATACCCTGAAAGTAACCTCCGATTTTGGAACCGCGTGAGTGGAGGGAGAGCAGGGGGGTTTCTCCTGAAGTCCACGGTCATCTCCACAGTTTTGAGCGTGTTGAGATCCAGGTTGTTGAGACTGCACCAGACAGCCAGCTCTTTAACCTCCTGACTGTAAGCAGACTCGTCACCGTCCTGAATGAGGCCGATGAGTGTGGTGTCGTCTGCAAACTTCAGGAGCTTGACAGAGGGGTCTTTAGAGGTGCAATCGTTGGTGTACAAGGAGAAGAGCAGTGGGGAGAGAACACAACCCTGAGGAGCTCCAGTGTATGTCACATAACCTGCTTTTTGGAATACCCCCCAGCAGGTGCCGCTAGTCTGTGGTGTTTCGAGCGCTTAGAAATAGTAAATGTTTTTGGTAAACAATTGCTTCAGTTGATACAGAAAGATTCGTTTCTCTCAAAACTACCTGTACCGAGAAGGTACGCATACGCGTTTTCTCTCTCGCTATGGTGTGTGGGAAGTGAAAAACCCGGAGTGGAGCCACGGTGGCGTGATTACAGAGCGCTTTCAGCGACAGACACTCTTGGAGAACTTTCTCTGCCGCTCCGCTCCACTTATATACAGAGCTCCACTCCGGCTTTCGTTCTGCGTTGCTTGGTAACTACCTTGATGCTTTGGCTTCTTGTGGAACTATTTTCGTTTGCCCAGAAGAAATAGTCGAACTAACTTTCCAGTTTCGTCTGCTCGATCATTGTGGCTACAATAAGGTAGATTATTGTTAAATTAAATAGATATATATTTAATTAAATAGATAGATAGATAAATAAATACTCCATCCTGCCATGATTCACAAGGTGGTGTTGGAGTCCCTCCCTCTGCTCTCAGATGACTGCAGCAGCAGACAGCAGCGCTCTCTCTCTCTGACCGACAGCAGCAGAAGCATGGCGGCGGTGGAGACACGGGAGTGCGAGACGGAAGGCTGTCACAGCGAAGCTAAGCTCCAGTGTCCCACCTGCATCAAACTCGGAATTCAAGGCTCATACTTTTGCTCTCAGGTGAAGCTCTGACACTTTGCTTTAAGAATCAAGCGAAGCGCTCGGGCTTTCTCGCTCATGTCACGCTGCCGGCCTAACGTTACGGGACTGAGCTCAGCGTTAGCTAGCTAGCTGCCTTACATCACAAACAGGCACTTTAAACCTTACTCTGAGCTTTGACGTTTACATCAAAGTTTTGTGCGTGATGATTTTCTAGATGACAGATTTGTCTGAAATGTTTAACCCTAAACACAGAGTGGAAATGTAATTTGCCAGCGGTTTCTTTGCTCAGCATGCTTTAAATGACTTCAGCTCAACGTGGCTCGCGTGCTGCTCAGTTGTCAAATCATCACATCAACCTTTTACTTATTTTATTTCCAATTTCTAAATATTTAGGACCAAAGGATGCATAAATTGGTGCAACCTGTAAGAAAATGTAGCTCTAAACCTACCTCTTTTCATTCTCGTGTATGATTTTGCTAGGCACTCCTAGGCTGGGGTGGAGCTTTCAAACCCTAGTGAGCTACCTATCTAGACAGCATTGTGGGCATCATAAGTGTTTTATGAGTCACTTGCCCGTGATGGTTAAAACGGCTGTCTAGGTTGGCAGCTCACTGGGCTTTGAGAGAAAACCTAGAAGTGCTCAAAAAATGGAAATGTCTACATGGACAGCATTTTGGGCATCATATGGGTTTTTTTTAGGCATACGCTCAAAAATGCTGTCTAGGTAGACAGCTTGTTACATTTGAGACACCTCCCTGGACTCTAGCGCCTGTTGCAGGGCAGATCTGCTGTCCTGCTTGCTGAGTTAAGAGGCTGATATGATGACAGGGTGCTGCCAAGCCCAATATCTGATTTGACCATCTGATTCAAACTTTCGCCCTAATTAGATGAGCCGCTGTAACTCACCCTCATGTAGTTCTAAACCTGTATGAATTTCTCTCTTCTGTGGAATACTTCTATGTTTCATACATTTCATAAATTGTAAGTCAATTGTGTTCAATGTAGTTTGGCCCCCGTCATTCTTGAGAATATCCCGTTTTATGTTCCACAGATGAAAGTAAGTCATACATGAGAATTTTTATATTTGAGCGAGCTATCCGTCTGATACCGTAAAATGGTGCAGAGGTTTGTGATGTATTATATGTGAAATTCCTTGTAATTGTGCTAAAGTATACGCTTCAAGTATGTTTATAGACTTCCTATTTAAATAGGAAGTTGGAGCAGGACATATCAAAAGGTTTCTGTCTTTTTTGTAAAATAACCAATAACCATTAGTTTACATTACAATTGTGAACCTTGATTTATGGGTTATTTATTGTTAAGTAGAATGTTTGCATTTGTTGCAAGATCATCACTTGTCAACAAAATATTTGATCTGTTTCTTGGAAGAGTGTTAAATTTTAATGAATAAAAATTAAGTATTATTAACAGATGCTAAAATATACACTATGTTCAAAAGTTTGAGGTTGGTAAGGGTTTTTCATATTTTTGGAGAAGTCTCTTATGCTCACCAAGGCTGCATTTATTTGATCAAAAATACAATAAACACAGTAATGTTATTAATGAAGTGTTATTATAATTAAAAATAACTATTTTATTCTCTTTTATTATATGTTCAAATATAATTTATTCCTGTGATGACAAAGCTAAATTTTCAGCAGTCATTATTCCAGTGTAACATGATCCTTCATTATAATATGCTGATTTGCTGCTCAAAAACATTTATTATTATCAGTGTTAAAATGGTTGTG